CCTCAGCCTTCCAAGTAGCTGGAACTACAGGCGTGTGCTACCACGCCCGGCTAATATTTTTTTTTTTTTTGGATTTATTGCAGAGATGAGGTCTCGTAAAGTTGCCCAGGTGGGTCTCGAACATGCGGGCTTAGGCAATCCACTCACTTCAGGCTCCCAAGGCGCAGGATTACAGCCTGAGCCACCAAGCCCGGCTTTTTTTTCTTTGAGTTGGAGTCTCACTCTCTCACCCAGACTGGAGTGCAGTGGCACGCTCCTAGCCACAGCAGTCTCGACCTGCTGGGCTCCAGCGATCCTTCCGCCTCAGCCTTCCAATTAGCTAGAATTACAGGCAAACGCTGCCATGCCCAGCTGATTTTTTTATTTTATTGTAGAGATGAGGTCTCGCCAAACTGCCCAGGCGGGTCTCGAACCCGGGGACCTAGGCAATCCACTCACCTCAGCCTCCCAAAGCGCGGGATTACAGGCTGAGCCACCGAGCCTGGCTTCAACATCACTTCTTAAACTGGTATCAAAACCAATTGTAAGCCAGGCAAGGGACACATCTATATTCCCGGCTATTTGGGAGGCTGAGGCAAAAGACTGCTTGAGCCCAGGAGTTGGGAATCCAGCCTGGACAAAGTAGTGACACCCATCTCTGAGGGAAAAAAACTGAAGCTTCCCATTCCATTTTTTGTTTACTCATTTGTAAGTTATTTTTATTCTTTCAACGGCTATACTGGAATTATGTGCATTCTTACCTGAAGTCTCAAATTAAGTCATTTTCTTTTTCTTTTTTTTTTTTTCTTTTGAGTTGGAGTCTCACTCTGTTGACCAGACTGGAGTGCAGTGGCCGCTCCCGGCCACCGCCGCCTCAACCTGCTGGGCTCCAGCGATCCTTCCTCCTCAGCCTTCTGAGTAGCCAGAATTACAGGCATGCGCTACCACGCCTGGCTGATTTTTTGAATTATTGTGGAGACGAGGTCTCGCTGCCCAGCCGGGTCTCGAACTTGTGGGTTCAGGCAATCCACTCACCTCAGCCTCCCAAAGGCGCAGGATTACAGGCTGAGCCTGGCTTAAATCATTTTCTTTACCCTACTCTTCAACATGAGGATTTCAGAAGCTTTACTTCTAAAAATTTCCACAGATTTACTTAACTGAATGAAACCACCCTCACTGTTTTCTCAAATAATTAGATGGTGTAATAAGGGAATAAAAACTGAAACACCAGGGTTTAATCCAGTCTCTGACAATTCATTTGGAAATTTATTTCTCCATTCTAATTTTGAGTTTCCTCACCTACAGAAGAAATTAAAAACTATCTTGCCGGGCTTGGTGGCTCAGCCTGTATTTCCGTGCCTTTGGGAGACTGAGGTGAGTGGATTGCCTGAGGCCGTGGGTTCGAGACCCGCCTGGGCAGCGAGACCTC